TAGAACTATAAAACCAAATATAAAAAGGTAAAACATTTTCTATATTTTTCCATTTATGAGTCATCAGGTAGATAAATGTCTCAGAAATATTGCAAAGTGCATCAATTTAACTATGCTATAATGCCATTATTTGTAATGAAAGCCACAGTATTAATAGGAATTATATTTTGAGCTTACTTTGTATGCTGTAACTTGGTCTTGCTTATATTCTTGAGGCAGATCTGGTTCTTTAAAGACATCTGTTGGTAGTTAAATCTCTGTGACATGGGAAATTTTAGCTAAAATGTGCTTGTGAAATCATTTTCCACTGAGATTCTAGCTGTCTTGACTTAAAACTCTACTTGCTGTAATATTTCAAGTGGAAGTCCTCCCTTTGTCTTGTAACCTTTTATGTCATTGACTTATAAAAGCAATATAACACTTTAGCAAAAGTATACTTTCATGATATGAAAGTGCACTTTCTGTGGAGAGGGTTTATGCTACTTCACACCGATAGTAGTCTCGTTTCAAGGCAAATGGTCTGTCAAAAAAGCTGTTTTCTTCTACCCATAAAATTGTTTTTAAAAGAGAAACTTCAACTGTATAAATAAAATAATGTTTCCTTTGAGGAAAGCTCAAGTTATGATGACTGTGGATATATCCACTTAATTTTCTTGGCAAAAATATAAAAATAATTTGCTATTGCCTTCTTATGGAATGGTTTATAATATACTAGAGTAACCTAAGTCGTAGGATGCCTTTTGGTTTCCCTTCCAAAAACAAAATCAGCCCAGAATTAAAAGAATTATTAATCAATCAATCATTTACAGAACTTACATATACTTTTCATCTTCTTTTGCTTCTAAAAGAGCAAATGTTTGTTTTATATTTGTGTCCAATTTTCACAGGTACTAAAAAAAACGCACAGGGTCACAGTCAAGGCTCTACCAAGGTGATCAACTAATCAGTCCAATTTAGTATCTAATTTGCATGTCATCATTATATACAGTGAAGTGCCATTTAATGAGGATGGCAGAAAGATGTTTAAATATTATAGAAGCAATCTAGAGTATTCATAGTGCAGTTTCATTTACAGCTTTATATATTATAATGCAGGCAAGACTTATCCGCAAGTAAACTAAGTTCATCCTTTTCAATTCCCAGGTCTCAAGTTAACAAAAAATTGCAAGATCACCATTATTAACTTCTACTGGATCATAGTGAAAGCAAACAAAAAGAAGCAAAAGTGCCTGAGCTTGCATTCAAAATGACAATTTTGTTAGCTACAAGATATTTTGGAATACTTTTTTCCTAAAATAGAATTAAATATTTTGTAGACTTTGTACTCCTATGGATTTAAAAATATAGTCCCCTTTTAGGCAAATTGGAAATCAGAAAAATAGCTCAAAACTTAAGTTTTGTTAGGGTTTTTTAAATTAGTTTCCAAAATCAGGATTAAGTCTTTAATTGTTTCTGCATTGTCCCACAGAATAACAGAGTTGGAAGGGACCTTGACAGTTTTTTCAAGCAGGAGACCCTGTACCAGGGGTAGGCAACCTTGGCTCTTTTATGACTCGTGGACTTCAACTCCCAGAATTCCTGCTGGCTCAGGAATTCTGGGAGTTGAAGTCCACGAGTCATAAAAGAGCCAAGGTTGCCTACCCCTGCCCTATACCATTCCAGACAGATTGTCCAATCTCTTTTTAAAAGCCTCCACTTATTAATTGATCTCACTGTCAGGAAATTTTTCCTTAGTTCCAGATTGGATCGCTCTTTGATAAGCTTTCATCCATTACTTTTTGTCCTCCCCTCAGGTCTTTGAAGACTAGGTTGATCCCCCTCTTCTTTGTGGCAGTCCCTTAGATATTGGAACACTGCTATCTTGTCACCCCTAGTCCTTCTCTTCGTAAGACTAAACATATCCAGTTCCATTTAGTTCAGAATTGTTCACTCTTGGTTCATTCATTGTTTTTTGGAATTCAAATTTTGAATGTCTGGAAATGAAATAAGTGGTTCATTGAAAATGCAAATGAAATACCAGCCTAGCTGAGGGAGGGCTCTTTCACCTTTAAGTGAAAGCTTCTTTCCTTTTGCTTCTGGTCCTGTAATTGTTTCCTAAGCTGGGGACATTGTCAAGTCTTACCTAGAAAGCAGGATCAGGGAAGCAAGAATCATACTTGTCTTCCATCATCAAAATAGGTTTCTTGATTATTGCCCCCCCCCCAAAAAAACCCTGTTTGTGTGACTGACACTGAAACCATTTCCTTGGTAAGCCGATAACAACCTCTCCCATCTGCTGATTATTTGTGTCTAGAGACTTTCTTCAATCTCAGTCTCAGTGCAATCTGTCATAGGCATACTGTATCAACTGACTTTTAAGGTAGACATCCCTGTTCTTTTTAGAAAGAGCTTAAATTCCTCTCGTTTTAAAAAGGTGCAATTTTAAAATAACAGTAAAGGAAATATAGTGCCAGAATACCAAAACTTAAAAGACTAATTGGAAATTGTTTATTTATTATAATATTGTGGCTTCTTTCACATGATGATTCTCCACTGAGGTAGACTGCACGGTTCCATGAGAGAAAATATGCAGCTGGATTGGATATTTATTTCTTTTTTATTTCTAATTTACATTTTAAGGGCAACCAACTGGTTAATGACTCTAGACAATGTACAAAATTAAAAACATATAAAATAATATGTATCAACAGAAAAATAAGATGGTTGTCCGAGCCAAAGAGACAACTAGTAAAAACCCTACAGGTAATCTTCGACTTATGACTGGTTACCTAGTGACCATTAAAAATTACAACAGACTGCCAGCAGGTACTGATGACCTAGTTCTGATGTCCTCCCCAACACTTGCACACATTCTGGCAGTCAGCAGCTGGCTCGCATTTACAGCTGCTTGCAACATCCAGCAGTCATGTAATACAATTTATGAATTTTTGCTGAAAACCAGTGTTTATTTATTTATTTGGCCAAAATAGCCCATAGCAAATAATGCGGTTTGCTTAAGAACCAAAGTGTTCACTTAATGACCATGGATTGGCTTAATGACTGTGGTCATTAACTTAGCGACCGTTACAAGAAGAGTTCATAAAATCAGATCTGTCATGTGGGTGACCCCCTTTGTGACTGTCATGACTTACGACCATGATGGGCAGGCTCCATTATAGTTGTAAGTCAAGGTCTAGTTGTAATAATAATTTGCACGTTGCAATTATCTCTCCAGAATAAGAAACAGCTTTCATTTTCACTGTCCAGTGATTCAAAATATTAAGGTGAATGAGAAGGCAAGTTTTATCTTTTATCTCTTGTCTCTGTATTGCTACTCTGACCTGTGGTTCTTTTAGCACTTCAGAAAAAAATTTAAGTGGTATCACAAACCAAACTGTATAGACCATGTTATACACTTGTTGTCCCCAAAGAAACTCAAGAGGTCTATTGACAGATCAGAAATTTTTGGGTCTCCATTGAGTTGAAAGGCACAGGAAGGTAGATTTTCCTTTTTTAAAATACGTTGTCTTGTTTCATTTTTTACTTGTCTATAAAATAGAGATAGACTGAAGACTGAGATTTAAGTCCATCCTTAGCCATTAAAGTGGATCACCATCCAATATATTACAGTCCAATCTACATTTACAGAAATGGAGTTGTAAGGGATAAAAAAGGGAGGATACAAATTATTTACAGTTGAAAAAGGCAAGACATAAATCTGTTCATTTGTGCATTTGATCAAAAAATATTTGAATCAGATTACTTTTCATACTATTTAAATGCCATTGGGATTAAAATTTAGATGTAAATGTAAATGCAGAATTTACCTTCAAAGACAATCTGATTAGAGAGCTAGAGTGGTATCATTGGACAATCTGTTCTGGGAACATCTTTGAATTTGCAAAGAGTGTAGAAGGAACAACTAAGAAAAAATGATTTCATCCTCACAAAATACAACTGTTTACTAGTTTTCAGATGAGATGGCAGGAATATTTATCCTAATTTAAACTATTTATGAAAACAACTTAAAATGTGTGAACATGTTTTATATGAGTAGGTGCATTTAAACAAAATCTGTAAACTGTGGTGTATTTATATGCATCTGCATGAGAGTCTTTGACAGCTGTCTACATAATCACAATGTTTTGATCATCTTACCAGAGAGAGTTAGCTAAATTATGTGCTCCTAGTTCAGGTCCAGTCTTGCAACTGAACCATGCAAAACAGATTTTCCCTTCTAAAGTAAAATGAAATACCAGGCTTTAAGCAGCTGATCTATAAAGATCCATCTGTTCCTATGGTGAAAGGAAACATAATTGCATTCTCTCTTGAAATGTCAAGAGAGAGGGAGATAGATATAAGTTAATGCAATATTTTAGCAACGTATTAATAAAAAGAACAATTCTAAAATGCTTGGATTATGTATATAAGGCTTCTTCTTGGAAATTAATTACAATATGATTACAGTTCACACATGTGAAATTATAGAATATAATAAAAATCTTCAGATTTAGTATTATAGTAAAGGCATAATATGAAGTTCTAATTATGTATAGTTTACTTTCTATTTTCTGCTTTTAAATTGTTTATACTGTATTGCCTTAATTAGTATAGATCTTTACATTAGGACATGCTAATTGGTTCTGCTGAAATTACATACTTTTGAAGATTTGGGGAGCAACATGTAAACAAAGAGAAACATGCTAGTTATCAGTCAAATAGACTATATAAAATATGACAATAATGCAGGTATATATTTGTATGTCATTGTAGAATGACAATCGAGATTCATTAATTATAAATACTTCAGATTTCAAATATTTATAAAAATAATGTTAAACAATACTTTTTGTGATCTTTTTATATGGCAGTTAAAACTTTTATTTAAAAATGATTTTTAATATTTTAAAATATATGTTAACAATATATAGATGATTTGATATATAATTTGTGTAAAAAATTCATAAGTTTATCTAATACTATACATTTAATATTCTTGTATTTTTTTACAATTATCTCAGGACTTCCTTGGAAACAAGAAAAAGCCTTTCAACTGATCCACGCAGGTAAAATATATCAAATATTTTTTTTAAAAAAAAAGATGGAGTAGTAGAATTAATTTCAATAATCATGAACATCAAACAAGTTCAATATAATGTTGACTATAAATTTCACTGTCATCAGCACAAATAAAGCCAAACTTACAGTCCTTTCTCTCAACGTGTTATGGAGAATCATTTTGTAGAACAGGATATAAGCTACTGTGGACACTAATGAGAAGGTGAGTGGAGTGTTAGGAATCTGAAAAATTACAGTAAGGCAGCTTTTCCATGCTTTTTAGGCCAGAGGTTCCTAACCTTGGCCCTTTTAGGACTTGTGGACTTCAACTCCCAGCCATGCTAGCTAAGGAATTCTGGGAGTTGAAGTCCACAAGTCATAAAGTGGCCAAGGTTGGGGACCCCTGTAATTTAGGCCACTGCAGTATCCTATGTAATCCCAAGAAATGGTTGAAATGTACTGTAGTAAATTGCCATATGGGAAAGGAATCTTCCCCACAATCATCTACAGCAGGGGTTCTCAACCTTGGCAACTTTAAGACTTGTGGACTTCAACTCCCAGCCATGCTGGCTAAGGAATTCTGGGAGTTGAAGTCCACAAGTCTTAAAGTTGCCAAGGTTGAGAACCCCTGATCTACAGGCTACTACAAATAATTCCTGCACTGTAATGGGAAATTCAACTTAGAAAAGAAGATGCTTCTCAGACGACATTAAATATAGTCTGTGCTTTTTTCAAAAAAAATATCATTCTTCTATTTGAAGAATGTTCTGCTAAAGCTGTGTTTCATTAAATCAAACATGTTAGCAGGCAATATGTTTAAAATGGTTCATATTATTGCAAAACATTCTGGAGAAATCAATTGGAACACGGTATTTTTCAATAGAATCTATTGAAGTGGTTTGTCATTGAGATATAAACAATCTCTTGGACTTCATTTTCTGTAACTAAAGGAGTGGAGGAGAAAATGTATGTTTGACAGTCTTAGAAGAGGGTCTGTGTGCAGTCATTGTCAATAAAATCCCATCATCTGTTGACCCATTAAATAGCTTCTTTTTGTCCAAACAAATGGCCTTCCTTCATCTAAGACAGGCATGTCAAACTCGCAACGTCACCTGACGTCGTGCAACATATCGGGACTTTTTCCCCATTGCCGGCAATGGGGTGGGCGCAGGTTCAGCGTGATGCATCTGGCCTGTGGGCCGGCAGTTTGACATGCCTGATCTAAGATATACTTGTCATTTAGTCTTTTTCCAAATTTACTCTGACAGTGTTCCATTGCAGCACAGGTTATACAGTCTATCCCACTATCTTCTTAATAGTCACACTATTTTGGCATAATAAAGTTTTTTTCATCTATCTGTATGAAAGGTTTGAAAAAACAGGAAATGAATCAGCTGTCTTTTGAAATGCTAGCATTGCTCCAAACATTCATGCTGCATTTTTTGAAGTTAATGATTACATAACTACAGGTTGTCCTCAACTTACAGTTATTAATTTAGTTAATATTTGACGTTTCAGTGGCACTACAAAAAAATAACTTATTATCAGTCCTTGCACTTATACCATCCCATGCTCACATGATCAAAATTTTGATACTTGGCAACTGGTAGGTATTTATAAAGGATGCATAGTCCTGGGATCAAATAATCATCTTTTGCAACTTTCCAGCTGATTTCTAGCAAGCAAAGCAATGGAAGAAGCCAGATTTGCCTAATAATGGGATGATTCATTTAATAGTTGCAGTTATTTGCTTAAACACCACATAAAATTGGGTGTGACTCACTTATCAATTGCCTTATACAGCAAGAGAAAGTCTGCCCCCAATAGTACAGTAGTTGTAAGGTGATAATTACATGTACAATTAACTTTTGTAGTGTTAATGAGGTACATTGTATGCATGAATGGTAAATACATATTAGAAAAAGAAAACTATCAATTTTAAAAATGGTGAATGTTTCCAGATGGCAAAGCAACATTTCCTGCGTACTTTTTGACCTCTAATCTAATTCAATATTGTTACAGTGCTTTCGAATATTGCTTTATATATCTGTCTAGAGAAAATCAAGTTTTACTAATTGCCATTTTTTAAAAAAAAAAAAAAAAGCATATTTCTTTGTACTAAAGAGAACAGAATTGAAATTGGGAAAACTTGCATTGGATTTTTTGTCTACAAAGATGAATTTATATTTGTGATTAATGGATATCACATAAAAGAGCAAGCTCCTGTATCCACATCGCTGCAAATTTTTAACCCTAAATTTTGCTGTTAGATTTATATTCATTCCTTTGTTCTATGTATGGCATGGCTATGTGCTTAAACCATGTATTTGAAATGGACCTTTTTCTAATCAGATACTCCAACCCTGGGCTGTGGTCCACTTCTGGGCTTTGAGACGTTCAGAACCGGGCTGTGGAAATACTGGGCTGTTGTGCATGCATGCACATCCTCTCTTGCATGAGCAGTGGGTAAGCATGTGCTCCATTTGCATGAGCAATGGGCGCATGTGCCTGTTAACTCACACAAATGGAGCTTCATGCACACACGGGCTTGCCTGCCCTCACACGAAACCATCCCCTCACTGGTCCACAAAACCGGAAAGGTTGGAGAATTCTGCTCTAAGCAATTAAGATTCTTATTCTTTCCACATCTCTAGCAAGCCAATCTTGCTTTCTGTACTCTCTTGTTATGTTTTCAACCAACCATTTATGCCACATAACAGAATAATTGCTCCAAATCACATTCAAAGTGCTGTGAAACTTTTCACAGACTTATCTCTGGTTCTTCCATTATCACTGGAGCATGACATGCAATTACCAGCATTCTACAGATTTCTATTTTCATATTTATATACAATAACCTGGATGGCACCAATTTATACTTTTGGATAAATATTTTAGTTTTTCCTTTCTTAATTAACTCTACATTTCACTTCCTGATGACTCTATTCCCAAAACAAGACCACCTTCATTCAGAGCTTGTACATCCTTACTCCTAACTTTGCACATGCATATCTATTTTTATTTCTTTCAACTCATTCATTACAGTATGTATGCTTTTTATCATTTATTCTTCTTACATTGAAATTCATAGTCTTCTATATTATATTTTGAACCCTTAGATATTAAGAGAGGCTTAATTGGCTAGTTCAGTGGGTGGAGGGGATGAAATTTGAGATAGCACTCCAGCAGAATAATTATAATTAATCCAGATCTGCTTATGCATTAATAAAAAAAATTGAAAAAATTGTAGGTGAGCATGGGCACCATTATTCTCTCTTCTGCTTCCCCCTCAACCTACATATTAGAACCTGTGAGAAATTAAAGTGAGTGGAATGCAATAGGGTTCTGCATACTACCCAAGATCATTGTGCACTAGACTACTTTATGGTGCCCAAATGGGCCTCTTCTCCAATTTTGCTCCATTAGAACTTGTTCAATCCAAATTTCCAAGACTTGACCTTCAGGTCCCCAAATGTCTCTCTAATTCACTCTGAGATTGGAGACAAACCTCATAAAGTAGCAACTAGAGTGTGAGTGACTCTACTCAACTATTGGCTCAACCAAACTTGTTTCCTTTGGCCTTGACCTATTAACTATGAGAGATGATTTTCAGTCCACATGGAACAAAGCAGTGGTAACTAAAATCTTGACTTTGGATTCTCTCCAGACTTTCCAATCAGCATTGGATATGATCAGGCCAAAGCACTCATTAATCAGTGTGTAGTAGACATTACCAGTTGGATCTAACGAGGTCCCCAATCTTTATTACTCATGAATCCAACAGGTACTCTGCTTCTCCCATGACATGCAATTAATCTTGAGGTATCTAACCATCTGGCATGATATCATGTCCTCCTCTCAGTTGTCCTTGACGCTCATATAGGAGAATTCTGTATGCAGAGAGACAATGCTCTAGTAAACTTTGGATACACAAAAACAGTGTAGCACGTTCACATCCAATGTACTTAGAGAGACATTCATAGTAGCTTCATCTCACCATCTCACCCAGAGCACATGAAATTTCACACCTGTTGCTTGAAGATACTGATTCTGCAATATCATATCATGTTACCAGGTTTTGTGGAACAGCAGTAAAATCCATCAGATGATGACATATGCTATAAACTAATCTTAATGAGCATTCAGTTTGTTAATTAATTAGTGCTTTATATGTAATAGATTTGCTAACTACTAATTTTTTCCCTTTCATCCATGTAATTCTCCTAGTCCTTCTTCAGAATTTATAGATTCTTGTTTTTATATATACATTTAATACATTTTACTTTATTCTAAAATTAAACTTTGATGTATCTTTTATGCTTCTTAATCCTCTATATCCCACTCTCATATTGTGTGTATGTATATGCACATATACATATGCCTTTTTAAAAAAAAAATATGAATTGTTTATATCAGTTGAAAAATTGTTGCTCTGTGATGCACCACAATTAAAAATCATGACAATCAGAGTTTTAGTGATATATACTGTAGATTAAAATATGTGACTTACCAGAAAGTAGAAAGTTGGCAAAGTTAAAACTTCCTAGCTTTGTATGATGCCTTTCATTTAGATAAAGTCAGTGTAAAGGGTTGTTCTTTATAATACATTGTTTTGGGAGAAGCCCTGCTTTATGATAAATGCACAATATTTCTTGGGAATTGCCTATTTTTAACCACAAAATTATTCCTAAATTTGCAATTCTGGTCTTACAGTGGCTGCTGCTTTAAACTCCAAATTTTAAGTCCAGTTTTCACCTCAGGCAGACATTAACTTCTCAATTCATCTTCCATTGTTCAGATTCTGCCTGCCTCTTATGCTGCACAGACTGTTGCCTTTGATTTCATCTTGAGAGCTATATTTATCTACTCTCTGAAGTTTTGAGGCAGTTTTCTGACTTGTGCCTTTTTTTTCTTAATATCTAGTACAATTGAATAAAACTATATTTTTAAAAAGGAACTTTGGGCCACCAAAAATGCCCTCTATCCTGAGATCATCTGTTAGAATGTG